GAGAGCCTCTCACGCCCACGCCAAGACCTCGAAAAGGTCAGTCGCTCGGTCTTCTCATGGGAGCCGTCAATTCAATTTTGTTTAGCTAGTTGCGTTTGATTGAAGTAAATAGAATTTCAGATTCTCTTGGAATCCCTAATTTACTTTCCTGCTTTTCAAATAAATATAAATTATGGAGTTACTGTTCCTCACTTCTTCGCATGATTGGAGAATAAACTTTGAAGATAACTCGCGAATATTGTGCTTTTCTTGCTTAACAGGAATGCTTGCAAGTAGAGATGGGGAATTCTTTCTTTGACTTTCAGTTCAATACGAGGCTTGTCAAATCAACAATTGTGCATTTCCAGGTTGAGATTCTTGTTCATAGCATTTGTTTTTGTTCTTGTTATCATACTTGTTCGTGTTCATGGCCATTTTAATGTTTGGAACTGCGCTGTTCCTGGATCTTCTTTGTATTTGTTTTAAACATCCTAGTGCAGTCAGTGATATCACGTTGGTACCATTTGTTAATCTGTGCAGCTCAGAAATCTGTTATGGGCAACTTCAAAGCATGATGTATATCTAATGCAGAACTATTCAGTATTGCACTGGTCTTCATTGCTTCGAAGGAGCAAAGAAGTACTAAATGTATCCAAACCAGTTGTTCCCACCTTGGTATGTGGTCTAAAACCTCCTAATCCTAATTAATTATTTTATTTACAATTTAATATTATCTATCGTATGAAAATTTAAGGTTACTAATGTAATCTTGAATCGTATGTGTCGATATACAAAAAGATCTTGTGCAAGTAATAATCTAAAGTATCTATGGTATATGGATAAGGTTGGTTACTTTATTCTGGTTACACTATTGATACGACCCACTTTGTAATCGTTTCAAATTATTTGTTCCAAACCGTTCATGTGGAGACATGCAAGTGAGAGTATTTTATATAATGAATTTGTATAAGACTACCGACCAATAAATATTTAATATCTCTTTATAAATCTGTTAATTGAAAAGATTAATATTTTACATAGTGATCATATGCGACTCGATCTTAATCTTGAGTGAGTTATGAACTCTTGCTTGTGAGAGCTTGTCTTTTAATTTCATGGGTGAGAAGGACTCTTTTAGCCAATACAATATGCCTATCATTTTGGGATTTAAGACTTAACTAAATAAAGAGTTGAGAACACAATATCATGAGATGTAATTCAATCCTATCTATAGAAGGAAAGTAACTGAGTTGTTCTCAAGTACTGATTTCATAACTTGAACAACGAGGGTCCACTTTCTCATTGGAAGCATTAGGAACCATTCCAAATGAACTCTTAGAGTTCTTGCTCTAATAACAATGGAAGGAAATGAACTCTTCATTCATATAGCGGAAGTATTGGGGAACCGTTTTGATTTTAGAAAAAAAAAAAAAAAATGTGCATATTAATTATAGTTTCGATTGCTTGCAGAAACTCCCTGGACTGAGGTCTCAGTCACTTTCCAGAGTTCAGATAAGCACCATGGCTGTGAAAGAGAATCTAATTGTTGCTGGTGGTTTCCAAGGGGAACTTATTTGCAAGGTGCAAGTCAAGCACACTTGATAACTTTCATTACATTTTCCTTGTGTGGTTCTAAACACCACGTTCTTGTCTTTCTTGTGCCTTCGTTCAGTACCTAAATCATCCCCAGGTTGCATTCTGCACAAAAATTACAGCAAGTGAGAATGCCATCACCAATGCAGTTGATATCTATCAAGATTCAGTGTAAGCATCATTATTATATTTGCAGTAGCATACAAAAAGAAGATGAACAACCAACCATTGTTTTAATGCAGTGGTAAAATAAGGGTCATGACAGCAAACAATGATGCCAAAGTCAGGATTTTCGATGCCGAGAATTTTGCTTCCCTCGGCTGCTTCTCGTTCGACTGGTCTGTAAATGTGAGTGCCACCCAGTCAGGTTTTCATTGTTACAGTTTCATAATTCAACAATTTGGCCTTACACCATTCTTTTACAGAACACATCCGTCAGTCCAGATGGGAAGCTGCTTGCTGTTCTTGGGGACAATCCAGATTGCTTGATCACCGACGCGAACTCCGGCCGAGTGAGTACTTTCTTTCTTTTGCAGTGGATGTACTTCAATGTAGGGAAAAAAAAAAAAAATAGTCGATTGCTAAATGGTAGGTTGGTTTTGAGCAGACAATTGGGAGCCTCAGAGGGCACCTAGACTATTCTTTCACCTCGGCATGGCATCCAAATGGGCATATTCTGGCAACAGGAAACCAAGATACAAGCTGTAGGCTGTGGGATGTAAGGAAAATGTCAGAACCAATGACCGTTCTAAAAGGGAGGATGGGAGCTATAAGAGCTGTGAAATTCAGCTCAGATGGAAGATTCATGGCCATGGCTGAACCAGCAGACTTCGTGCATATCTTTGACACCGAATCAGGTTGGGTTGAAGGACAAGAAATTGATATGTTTGGTGAGATAGCGGGCATATCGTTCAGCCCAGACAGTGAATCTCTTTTTGTTGGTGTGTCTGATAGAACTTACGGTAGCTTATTAGAGTTCAACAGAAAACGTCACAACAGGTATTTGGACTCCATGATTTGATATGCCGAACTCAAAATGCACCGGTAAATAATTCTTTACTGTGGATTAAGGGTAAAAAAAAAAAAAAAAAAAAAAGTATGAGGTTAAAAACTTGGGAACTTCTTTTTATCTCCAAAGTTGCACATCTGATCATTGGGCTCAGATTTTTTCTTAGTGTGGGCTTAGGATCCAAGCCTCAATGCTTAGGAATATATAGTAATATAGAAAAGTGATGGGGGCAAATAAGTCTTAAAATGGTTTTGATTATGTGTTTTTAATTAGTATATATATTAAGTCAATGGGATACAGATATACATAGAAAAATAAAATAAAAATTGATGAGTTGGGTCTTGGAACCCTACACACATGCTTACTTTGTACCTTCAAACTAACACAAATACAGCTCATTTTCTTTCTCTCTAATCACATTTCTAATTAAAAACTATTCATCAGGTTTATATAATAATAATAACAACTTATTTATAATTTGTTTAGGTAGTATTTTCATATATAAATAATTTTAAGTTTTGATTTATTGTAATTATCTTTAAGTCGAAAGGAAATTGAAAATTATAGTTCACAAGCATTTATAAAAAAAAATATACAAAAATTAAAATGGAATGAAGTATAAAATTAAAATATAATGTATTTTTAAAGAATAAAAAAAATATAGAAATAGATGATGGAGAGAAAGAAAGCGGCTTCATGAATTCTGATGATACGGGAGAGTGGCGGGCACGTGACTGAATTTTCCAATTCATGCCCCGCCCAACACGCTCCAACATCCATTCCGGATTCCCTCTCTCTCAGCTCCAATTTGGTCAATTCACTGCTTCCCTCCCCTTCCTGCATTTTCCCACGCGATTCTCAGCGCGTGCTCTCAAACCATCTCACTTTGAGCTCCAACGAGTTGGAAATGCGCGTGGGGAAGTTCACAAGAGTAGAACCCACGGCCCTGTCTCCAGAATCAGGCGCCGCAGTCCAGGACCTTGTCCCACGCGCACCTTCCTTCTCCATAAACGCGGCTTCTTCCTCCTCGCTTCAAATTTCAATTCTTCCCTCCCTAACCTCACTTTAACTTAACTTCAACTTGAATTTAACTACGGTTTTCTCATGCAATTAACCATGGTTGAGTTTCCTACCCCAAAAGTCCTTCCCTGTCGTGTCGCTTGTTGGGGATTTATTATTATTATTTATTTAAATAATGTAATTTCAATTAATAAAAAATAAATATAAGGTAATCCCAAAAGTTAAAACAGGGTAATTACACTACTCTTGCATCCTTGTATCCTATGTATAATGATTACAATTGAAGGTAAATCGCCTAACATATAGGCAACTACAGTACCAAATTAATGTTACCAAATTTATATATATGGAACCACGAAACTCATGTACGTGAGTCCCAGCCTAACTCGTGCAACACACACATGAGTTCACGAGATCCAACAAAATTCCACTAGCTTATCTACCCCTCACGTCCAAAACTCCATTCCTTCGTCATACAGCTCTTTTCTCTTCTTTTTCATTACTTCTCTCACAAAATTTGTTGTCATCGCTACTGAAACAACACCAGTCACACCGATATCCCTATATTTGTTATCTTCGTACTTTTTATTATTCTAAGTGATCTCTATTGAGTTATCTTCTAATAAACGTATGAGCGTGCCCTTGTAGAGCCGTTTGACCCATTCACCAACTCATTTTTTATTCCAATAATTTCATTAAATGCCCATAATACATGCACGTTCTCCCATTTAAACATTATACAAATAATTAAACTTCATAATAAAAATTCATTAATAATGCTCTTTAGTCAACCCATGAGAAGATTACCAATAATTATCATCACCCATATGATCATATTGTTATTTTCAGAACATAAATACTATAATTAGAACATCTATCTATATATATATGAATATAATCAAAATCAGTGGCTGATTGTGGGTCTCGAATGAGGTGGAAAAGTAAAATGAAGTATCAAAATTCAAAATTTGGAGCCTTTGAAAATGAAAGAACTGAAATTCATAATTACTCCATAAAAAAGCGAAAATTCAAAATTTTGGACTTACCCATTGGCCCACTTCCTATAAATTTCACCATCCAATGAACTGACACACAAAAGCTCACAAAACCATGTGGGCCTCTCTCAGGTGTGCGTAATGCAATCTGGGTCATGCCGACAACGTAGTACAAAGTCTACTGCTAGTAGATATTGTCTTTTTATTTTTGTACTTTCCTCAAAGCTTTAAAACACGCTTGGTATGAAAAGGTTTTCCATCCTTATAAGGAGTGTTTTGTTTGTTCTCCTCCCTAACCGAGGTGAGATTCTCATATAAATAAATAGACATAAAGATTTACTGAGTTATTTAGATTTAATAATATGAGAGTTATTACAAAATTTGAAGCAAGAAATGTCAGGAGGGGATGAATTATTTGGCTGCAAAGCAAAACAAAGAGTAAAGTAATTAGTGAGTAAGTATGAACACAAGGGTTTTCTGGTCAACGAAACTTGGATGAACGTGATTATGAAGCTAAGCTATGGCGGATAATTGAGATTATTTTAAACACGCTCGTGAATTTTTGGAGGCTTATAAAAAGGGGATACGCCATTGTAGCCTGAGAAACAGAAACATACATAGAATTAAGCTTATAAGAAGGAAAAAAAAATCAGTTTAAGGTTTGAAGTTCGTCGTTGTTCTTGCTCCCCCTTCTGCAACTCCCCGCTTCTCTGAATCCCTTTCTGTTAATTATCTGTGCTTTTCAGGTTCTCATTTTTGGGGTTGTTTGTTTGTTCGTGATGAACAATAACCAAGCTTAGGATTGTGGAGAAGGCCAGGTATTTTCAGAATCAAGATTCAGGATTTCTGTTTTTTACTTCAATTTAATGTGTTTTTGTGTTTAATCGAGAGATCAATCTGTTTTTGGTGGGTGAATTTTAGTCCCTCAAGGTTGGTTTTTCTTGTTAATTTTGTGTTTTGATATGAAGGGGTTCTTTATTTTGTTCAAACTCCTTTGATAATTCTTAGTTCGTGGCCTGTTTTCTTTCTATTTTAACAAGAATCAGGTTCATCTGTAAACAAATCCTATCTTTTTTGTTCTTGAATTAATGGCAGCCGCCATGGATTTCTATAGTGAAGGATCTCAAACAGACCACTTTGGTGGTGAATTAATGGAAGCAATTGTACCTTTTATCAAAGTTGCTTCCTCCTCCTCCTCTGTTTCTTCTTCTTCTTCTTCTTCTTCTTCTTCTTCCTTCAATTTCTCTCACTCTGTTCCTCAACAGTGCTCTAATGGCTGCTCCACTTCGATGAACTCAGAATTTTCAAATGGGTTCTCGACCCAAACCCTTATTGGGTACGAACAGCCATCTCAAATCTTCCATTTCCAAACCCCATTACCTTTTGCTTATGGGAAACCAAGCGAACAGCTGAATCAACGAACGACGCCCATGTTCCTCTGCCCCGAGGCGATCCCGATGAAGCAAGTGGGTTCATCTTCAAAACCCACGAAGCTTTACAGAGGGGTAAGGCAACGGCATTGGGGGAAGTGGGTGGCGGAGATCCGGCTGCCACGGAACCGAACTCGGCTCTGGCTTGGTACCTTCGACACTGCTGAAGAAGCTGCGTTGGCGTATGACAAGGCAGCCTTCAAGCTACGAGGGGACTCTGCCAGGCTCAATTTCCCGCACCTCAAGCACCAAGGCTCCTGTGTTGAAGGCGAGTTCGGTGCGTATAGGCCTTTACATTCCTCTGTTGATGCAAAGCTCCAAGCAATTTGTGATAACTTGGCTGCGCCGCCGCTCAAAGGCAACTCAAAGAAGTCGAGGTCCCAATCCTCCTCCTCCACGGTGGCGGAAGCGGCGGCTGTGAAGGTGGAGAGCGATGGGTCTGCAGGGTCTTCACCATTATCAGATCTTACATTCCCCGACTTCACAGAGCTGCCATGGGAACACAATCAAGCTTGGGAGAATTCAATGCTCGAGAAATATCCTTCTGAGATAGATTGGGCTTCGATCTTGCCTTCATAATTTGATCGGAATCTTCGACGGCACCTGCAACGGAGTTTTTTGAAGGTTGCAGGCCGAGACTCATGGCTCAAATTCTTTTGTCACATATTATGTAAATGTCTGCCATGGTCAGCTGGTTTTTTTTCTTGCAAGACCATGGTATGATTTAATTTGGTGTTCTTATTTCTTTTGTCAGTCGTAGTAGTTGTAATCATTTTTTCATTGGTATATTATTATTATTGTCTTTGTTCGACTTTCTAATATCGATATTAACATCTAAACTTAAAGAAATATGTAAACAAAAACAACCAATAAAATTTGAATATATATTACCGAAGGTTGGAAGGGAGTCTTATATTAACTAATTATGCCATCTCTATTGTTATTAGATCTTGAGATCTTTTGGGAAAACCTAAAGTAAATCATGAGAATTTATGTTATTGTAGAGATTCATGGTTGAAAGGCAAATAGAAAATTCCATCTATGAACAGAAAAATTTAATACAAGTCGATCCCATTTCTAAAAGGTTTGACATATGATTTATTCTATTGAAATGTTTCATTTTGCCTAAAAAGAAAGCTCGGATAATAAACGTGTTTACTTCCAAGTTCATACAAGGTATCGGGGAATAAATTAATGACCCCTCTAACCAATTTACTTTTCGGAGAATATTCGTACTATTTGAGAACTAAGAAATTGAGTATCTGAAAAAACTAGAAAAAAAAAAAAAGAAAAAGATGAGGTTTTAAGATGTAATATGAGCAGAGATGATAACTAAGCTACTGATCGAAGATCGGGAAAGTTGAGATCAAAAGCAGCAGAGTATACCCACGACAGCAAGACTCATCCTGCATGTTTATCTCACGAATCGATTATCTTCAATTGAATCGATGATCACATAAATTTGCCAAGTTCCATCTTTTTCTTGATTGCCTTTTGACCATGATATATAATGGAGTCTAATATCCCCGAAACAGTAAAAACTCCTGAAGGAAGTCATTATAAAGTGAGACAATGTATCATAACAAAACCACAAAATAATTTGGAAAAAATATCTGCCTTGTTCTTGATTTGTTCGAGTGAAAGTGAATCAGAAAACTAAAAAGTTAACAGGGCAAAGAGCATAATAAAACTTGACATGGATCGCATCAATAAAGGAAGTATTTACAACTGCGAGCAGATTTTATGATTTTTCAAAAAGAGTAGAGGAACTATTCAAGTGATCATGAAAAGTTGAATTGATTGAAAAGGGAAAATTGATCCAAGTTTTGTGTATTGTCAACTGATCGAGGTTCAAATAACTCTCGTAAATTAAATTACCTCCAACGATAGCGCAAACATTTGTTAAGAAGTGAAAGAATGAGACATGCTCCTCTGTGAATGTCACCTACAAAATGAAATATAATTGGTTAGCCAGGACACCCGAAAAATTCCAAGATGTAAACAAGGCAAAACCCATGAAGGAGCTTGAAGCAAAGCTCAAGGTCTTTGCAACAAACTTCAACATAAAAACATTGATCCCACCTTTATAGGAGACAGGTCATAGAAGAAAAAAACTCCATGAAGATCCTGGAAGCTTTCTCCGTCTATGCCCCTCAAGTGTTGGGTTACAGAGAACTGCACTTACAATATAGGATCTTAAATATCAAGCTCAACAAATAACCATCCGAATGATATAAACTAGAAACATTCAAGCTCAACTCAACCTGATTTGACTTTATAGCCTTTCCCTTCACGTCCTTGTAAACGGTAGGCACAACCTGCAAAGAAATTGTAGACATACATATCTCTAGTAAAAAACTCAACCAATTGACATATGAAATGCAGAATAATAGAAAAGAAATTGCAACTCTAGAGAGGTAAAGAATTATAAAGTAGATGCACAACATTCGAAGTATAACTCTAGAGAGGTAAAGAATTAAGGAGACAGGAAATACATGTATACGTTTATATAGAAAATATTTCCCACATTGATCCATCCTAAGAACAGTAAATCTTGATGGAAAAGTTAAAAAAGGAAATTGGCAGATGAGTAACTTGAGTTCTTCTCTCTCTCTCTCTCTCTCTCTCATTCACACTAGTGTGTCTACAAAAATACATTCAACGTATAAGTTATATATAATACAAGAAATAGAAACAATCAGATATATCATATAACTACCGCAAATATTTAGTCATCATGAAAATGTTAATTCCAGAGAACGAGAAGAATGATCGAAAAAAATGACTGAACTTAGAAAAACCTTGATAAAATATTGGAACATTCCACTGAGCGTTCCTTGACTCCATTGCGCACTTGAAGCAGAAGTAGAAGAAAAATAAAGGGAGAAAATGAGAGGAAAATACTACAATTAGTTTAAGGTAAAAGGATGATTAAACTTCAAACAAACAGAAAGGAACCTACCCATCAAGAGGATTTACAACACCTGGAAAGTCATCTCCAAAATTTAATCTGTTAATCCTGTGGGTTATCTGAAGAATAGATAAATAAATGAGATAAGTTACCTGCAAAGAAATGTAGCAAATTTCTCATTCCAAAACCAGTTCCTTACATTAAAAGTATCCCACTGAAATGATGCTAATGGATTATGTATCTGGAAGTATGGTAGTTGAAAGCTTTTTCCGGGTGCAAAGTGAAAATTTCCTGCCACCTTATTAACTTCCAAGAACCCATACATATTGCATCCTTCACCTTCTTCATTTTTCACCCTTTTGAAGAAACCTTCTCGTTTGCACTAAAAATATAAAGCCAACATACGAGAGATTCCATTCAACCGAGAAAGTATAATCCAATCTTGCTATGCAAAATTTTTGAAGACAATAAATGTTATAATACAACAATGTCCAAGTAAATTAGGATGATAAGCATTCACCATTAAGGGAATAAAGCGTTGAAGCAAAACAAAAAAGAGAGTAATAGAAATCAACTGAATGCTAAATTTCCCTAAAGTGAAAACAGAACACAGAAAGAGAAGGGCTTCATGAAGTTCTTTGGCAAACGAACATCAATTGCCAATTTGAGTTATCTGATGAAAATTGACAATTTGAAGGGAGTTATGACCAATTTAACTCAGGGCTATCACTATGCTAAGTGTGCAACCATATCCAATAATACCAATTTCAATCCTCTCCAACAATTAGTTACTTAATGAGAAGCAATTGTTATAAGATGGCATCTAAATGAGAAGCAAATTGTCAGACAATCACAAAATTGAAGATACATTCCCAAAGTCTACCTTAGTCAAGAAAACTATCTAGTTTATTCGATTAGATTTCAGTGGAGAGAAAAATATTTAAATGACAATTTGTTGAGAATATGAAGCCCAAAACAATCAAGGCCCATTTGTCAATTAGTAACCTAGCAATTTAATTGAGCTGGCTGCGGCTGCGTTTTTTTGGTATACAGAAGAAAAGGCCGTGGGTGTTGACTGTTGTGTGTTGTTTGACAAGAAGAAAAATCGTGACCTTGGTTGAAATTTAGATTGAATATATTTTTATGACCACACAATTTGCATCTCAAAGAAATGTAGTAAAAATTTTTTATGCAGGAAGTAAACCAACCTGGTCAATTAGATCTGGATGAGACAAAGCCCAACCTTTACTACGATAAGCTTCACGCACGTCTTGACAAGAATTACAACAATCGTCATCTAACTGAAAAACAGAACAAAAGGAAAGAAATATTAAAAAAAAAAAAAAAGGAATTCAATTAGCGATTGATTCAATTATACAGTTTCAAAATTTTACCAATTAAATCAACATATTAAACAAACTTCAAGATTTAGCGGGGCATTCTTATTTGGTCATGTTATCAAAATTTGAATTGGCAGGTTAGTTCGATCAAGAACGTGTAATCTACTGAATGTACCCATCAATACCTATGAAGTACAGTAATACTGATTTTCTCTCAAATTACTCGTAAAGAACTTAAAAAGGCAATTAAACATTGTTCCAACATAAAAATCCAAAAAATGAAGTATAAACTTACTGCCCCATAGCAAGAACCACAGTATGTCTCATTGTGCTCGAGTCTGCCACCGTGTCTCTGTAAAGGCTTCTCAATCTGCATGAAGTAGAAACAGAATCGATAACAATGGAGAAAAGAAGCAACTCATAATACAGTGACCCTAAATTTAGCGGTGTGAGGTACCAAAATCAGCAAACACCAAAAATCATTCTCGTTTGCAACACCATCTGGTGTTGACTCTATATATTGTTGATAGAAAATGAAGGGGAAAAAAATCCAGCCTTCAAAAGAATATGTAATTACCTTAGATGATCCAATCCCATCTGGTCTTGAATCTATCACATTGCCATGGTAATCTATTCTTTTCTTTACTATATCATGTTTCTGCATAATTAGAAGACATTAGAAAGAGATATAGTATTTAGCTGTTAAAATTAACCAAAAGATTCCAATTGCCAAGCATATACGTGAATTTTATGGATGCCATACCACATCAAGGTGTTGCTCTCCACTTATGTCCATAGCATCAAGACTGAGAACAGAACATGGAAGTGCAGGAAATGTAACATCAAACTGCACAATTGAATATGAATATTACGTCGATGCACATTCAAGTGCAAGTCCAGGAGCATATTTCCAAATAAAGAACAGTAAAAGAAAAAACATAATATGTGTACAAATGCAACTAATCTAAATCATTAAAAGAAAATGAACCCTTGTAAGCAGAGTAGAAAACCAACAAACAAATAAAAGACATGTTTCCACTTTGCAGGTAAATTACATTGATTCGTAAGTGTTCTCCTCTTGAAGTATCTACTATAAGCTTTGTCTCTGTTGCAGTATGTACATACAAACCTGAAATTCGAACAGCAAGCTCACAACATGTTATAATAAAGGAAACAAAACACAGACAGCCCCTCTTTCATGCAGCAAGAACCAGAGCTGTGCATGAAACAAGAACAGAACAACCTAAGAAAAAAGAAAAAGAAACAAAACAATAGGAAAACAGCAAGGAATACAATCAATATTCAATTGCAAAGAAGTAATTAAACACACACTTACACTAAACAACTAGAAACAACACTCATTTTGTAATAAGATACCAAAAAAAAGCATGATAGTGACAAGACAACCCCCAAGAACCCCACCAAAAAGTCGCTACACATTATCTCATTCCTGAGAAAATTGAGCTAAGTAAGTTCCAAAACGTGTATGCAGAAAAACCTCCAACAACAAACATAGCAAGCACAGAATCGACGAGAAAATATAAATGGCGAAACGTACGAAGCTCGGAGAAGAAGAGCAAGAGCATTATAATGGAGGATATAATAGTGATGAATCCTCCGGACAGTGTACGGCTGTAAAAATCTTCGCTGATCTTCGGATAAGCGTCCAGTTTACGAATCTTGTTCATCAAGCTTTCCATCCCGAAAGCGAGAGAGAGCGAGAGAGATCTCTATTCGCGATGAAGAAATGAATGATCTGAACAGTTTTGATTGCTCAATTTGGACAGCAATCAATTGAAGAAACTTATTGAGTTTCAAATCTTTAAACGAAGGAAGAATGTTGATTTTTCGGGAACAGAAACCTGACTCAGTTGGAACCGAAACCATTGTTTTTCTTTTTTTCGTTACGTGGAAAATATTCATCCAAAAATAGATAGCAGTTTATTTTCTGTATTTTGCATTTTACCCCCTATATTTCTCTGGTTTCTGATTTCCACCTCTGAGTATCGTCGTAATTACATATCCAGGCACGGAACAAATTATCCGCATAAATGAAATTGGTTAATATAAATTATCATAATGTAACTAAAAAATCAAGTTAATTACGATTAATTTGTGACAATTAATATCTCTTTAGGGTCGGATTTGGAAAACGCTCACTTAGATTCCACGCTACAGAAAACCTTTTCTTAGGGGCGGCCTACCATGCACTTGCTGCGAGCGGGTAAATCTCACTCTTGATTTGGTACGAAATCAAGGCATGTATGACCACACAGTGGAATTCTCGTTGTCGGATATGAATTTATCATAATACGATAGTACAATGAGAGAACACTGTAAATACTAGGACTTGTCTCGATATTACCTAGATCTAAGCATTGAGCTATGGTTCGAATCTCGTTGAGCACAACAGTGTACATAATACGTCGATTCATCTCTCAATCAATAGTTTACGTGGAGATATGACTAGATTCATGCACCAATGTTTCTATCGCTATCTATTTCCTCATCTTGTTGTACATAAATTTTTTATTGCAGAGAGTGAAAACATAGATAACGATCATATTCGAGCAACTGTATCTAATATTGATATCACATCTGATCGAAGAGATTGATATTAAGTCAATGAAAAAAAAGAGACAAATAATTGGCCGAAGTCCAAAGACAAAGACTCTAAGCTCATGACACATGAGGGCCCAATTTCTCGAACACAAAACTCATAATTGCATTTTCACTTTAATTTTATTTAATTTGTAACTATTTTCCACTTTATTCAAATCAAATCAAATCATAGATCCCGATAATATCTAAATTTTAATTCAATTCTTTACGATTTAATATTTTTTTATTATATATTAACACGATACTTACTTGATGTTATTGTTTTTTTTTTAGAAAAAAATAGTCTTAATGACATTAGATGCTCGTGTGATGAAATGTTTATAAGGTTAGAGCATATTAGACACAATAGCACGCTAATGTGAGTTTCTAGTTTGTAAGCTATCCTAGCTTCTCGACCCATTACACCAATGCAAATTTGTGACCACTAGAAATGAAAAAAAATTCGAAGTTGAGTTGCTCGGTTAGTTCACAAGCATTCTTCATAGAAGAACACTTCAAACGTGCTTACCTAAAACGTACGTCTAGCTAATAATCATTTCTTATAAGTTGTTCGGCCACACATACCATTCATGCATACATGTTCAATTGTGTAAGACACAACATCCGACAATCTTACATCATTGAATGTTCTAGCTCTTGTGTTTATTGACCGATAGTTTCGGGGGGAGGGTGCTTTTATGGCATGGGCTGGTGGAGTTAGACTATGATTGGATAATGAAACAAGGGTAGTGGCCCTTCTCAACTTTTGCCCTAAATTTACATATCATTTCACACAGTCATGTTTTTTAATGCATTGGAGGAAAAGTAGAGGTGAAGAAACACAGCCCCACATGCCTGTTCTTCCACCAATCTTCACCCTTATTCCATTTGTAAGGCAGCCAAGAAGGGGAGTTTCAAAATTTAACGCAGTTCTTCTGATTCTCTGTAAGAATTGTGTTTTAAAAACCCCAAATCCCAAAACCCAAATGCCGGAAAACGGATTCATTATGAAATTGGGTAGAGAAGCTAATAAAGGGATTTCATCGACGGATTTGTTGGTTTGTTTTCCTTCTCGATCGCGTTTGGCTTTAAGGCCAAACCCGCTTTGTAGTCCAGTGAGGGGTTGTGATTCCAGTAAGCTTCGTCGTAGCCGCCGGAGTTACCATCACCGACGGAGGAAATCGGCGGAGAGTCCGGTGGAATGGGCAAAAGCGAAGACGATGGGGTCGGAGATGTCGGAACCGTCGTCGCCGAAAGTGACATGTGCAGGGCAGGTTAAGATGAGGCGGAAGAACAGGGAGGGGTGGAAGTCGGTGATGGAGGAAATAGAGAGGATTCACAATCGGAGGAAATTACGGAGGAGGAGGGTTAATTGGGTGGAATCTTTAGGGTTTAAGAAAGATATAATGCAATTGTTAACGTGTTTACGCAGCCTCCGGCTTGATTTTAGGTGTTTCAGAGCTTTCCCAGAAGCAGATTTCACGACTGAGGAAGAAGAAGAAGAAGAAGAAGAAGAAGAATCGGAAAGCTCCAGAACTGCATTTTCTAAATGGTTTATGGTTTTACAGGAGAATAGAATGATGAATGGGTGTACTGTTGATGATGATGCTCCGGTTGCGCCGCCCAAGAACGCGCTCTTGCTAATGCGTTGCAGGTCTGCTCCGGCGAAGAGCTGGGTGGAAGAGAAGGTGAAGAAGAAGAAGAAGAAGAGCTTGAAATGGCTAATGGAGGAAGAGAACAGAGAGAGATTGGCTATGGAAAAGGGGACTGAAATCAGCAGAACGTCGCCGTATTGGCTTTCAAGGAGTCGAAGTTGGAAAGTGTGAAGAAAACTGGATTTTTCTTTAATTTGTTTTCAGAGTATTATTGGTGGGTTTTTGGTTGTGTTGTTCATACAGTTGTTGTTACATTATTATAATAATGTAATTATGTAACGGATTTCATTTGTATTTTTCCTGTTTTTCTTTATAAAAAAGGAAGTGTTCATCATATCTCAAGTCTAATCAGCTCAAGAAGCAGTGAGCTTGAAGACATTGCTTCTAATCATTTTTATGGTTGGTCCCTTCCCATGTCCCATGTTAATAATATATATTGCAACCCAAGATAGTACTTATAATGACTCAAATCCACCGCTAGCATATATTGTCCTCTTTAGTCTTTCCTTTTCAGGCATCCCCTCCTCAAGGCCGCTAGGGGAAGGTTTCCCTTTCAGGCATCCCCTCCTCAAGGCCGCTAGGGGAAGGTTTCCCTTTCAAGCATCCCCTCCTCAAGGCCGCTGCAGGAAGGTTTCCACATTCCTTATAAAAGTATTTTGTTCTCCTCCCCAACCAATGTGGGACATCACAGTCCACTCCCTTCGGGGCTCAACATGACGCTCGTTCCTTTCTCCAATCGATGTGAGGGTTGGGGCCAGCGAACAGAGAGAAGACTGGCACATCGTCCGATGTCTGGCTTTGATACCATTTGTAACGCTCAGATCCACCGCTAGCAGATATTGTCTTCTTTTGGACTTTCCATTTCGGACATCCCTCAAGACTTTAAAACACATCTGTTAGGGGAAAATTTCCACTTCCACACCCCTCATAAAGGGTGTTTTGTTGTCCTCCCCCACCAAGGGGGTCATCATCTTCATAATAAAAGGTAAAACCCCACTATAATGTTCCAAAAGTAGATTTTGCTTGCATCAAAAGCTTCCTCCTTTTTTTTCTCTCTTTTTCTTCGAAGTACCAATATTAGGTATATGAACAGTGATGATTAAACATACTCGAACAAAACAAAACAAAACAGTGGCACCAAACATGGGAGATATTTGAGGTAAAAACCTCCCTATTGTAATCTGGGATTCACAGTTACAAGTATATGAATGATTCATTCATGTCTATCTTCAACCTTTTTTTCTATAATTTACAGGCAAACAAGTGGGGGGGCATGAATTTGTTCGTGTTTGAGGTTACCAAGTGAAGCTGTGGTGTAAAAGCAGAGGCTCATACATTCATATATCGAATCCTGGCATTGCGAATGAAGCAGCAAAGGCCTCAACGCGGTTTCGAAGCTCCATAATATCTTTGTTGTTTTGTAAATTCTTCATTATATCTTTATGTAGTTTTCCGTGTTCCCTATGAAGGACCATTTTTGTGATCTGAACTGCTTTAAGAAGGATCTCAGCAATCGTCTCGAAATCAGCCTCTAGGCAACCTCTGGTTGTCATTGCAGGAGTGCCTGAACAAGAAAATAAGTTTCTATAAGTTTATCTCAAGAGCAAAATCAGCTGAGTGAGTACTCTATATACAAGTACGCACCTATTCTCACTCCTCCAGGAGAAATGGCTCCATTGTCACCATAGATGGCACACTTGTTCACTGTAATATGACATAGCTCACAGATCTTCTCATAGTTCTTGGCTGCAAAATAAAATAAACAACAAAAGTATAAGAATTAGCAGAGCCACCCCTCAATTTAAAAGCTTAAAGTTGATAAGCTATGACAAATTCGATCATATATATAATACTTTAAGCACTTCCTCATCTGCGGACTTGAAAATCCATAGAAGGTTAAAGTAGAAATTAATACTAATTAGAGTGAAAATCACATTTTTTGAACCCTACTATGGCGATGAGCTGTGTGAGATCCCACATTGATTGAAGAAAGGAACGAAGGGGGTGGATTGTGAGATCTCACATCAGTTGGAGAGAGGAACGAAGGGGTGGATTGTGAGATCTCACATCAGTTGGAGAGAGGAACGAAGGGGTGGATTGTGAGATCTCACATCAGTTGGAGAGAGGAACGAAGGGGTGGATTGTGAGATCTCACATCAGTTGGAGAGAGGAACGAAGGGGTGGATTGTGAGATCTCACATCAGTTGGAGAGAGGAACGAAGGGGTGGATTGTGAGATCTCACATCAGTTGGAGAGAGGAACGAAGGGGTGGATTGTGAGATCTCACATCAGTTGGAGAGAGGAACGAAGGGGTGGATTGTGAGATCTCACATCAGTTGGAGAGAGGAACGAAGGGGTGGATTGTGAGATCTCACATCAGTTGGAGAGAGGAACGAAGGGGGTGGATTGTGAGATCTCACATCAGTTGGAGAGAGGAACGAAGGGGTGGATTGTGAGATCTCACATCAGTTGGAGAGAGGAACGAAGGGGTGGATTGTGAGATCTCACATCAGTTGGAGAGAGGAACGAAGGGGTGGATTGTGAGATCTCACATCAGTTGGAGAGAGGAACGAAGGGGTGGATTGTGAGATCTCACATCAGTTGGAGAGAGGAACGAAGGGGTGGATTGTGAGATCTCACATCAGTTGGAGAGAGGAACGAAGGGGGTGGATTGTGAGATCTCACATCAGTTGGAGAGAGGAACGAAGGGGTGGATTGTGAGATCTCACATCAGTTGGAGAGAGGAACGAAGGGGTGGATTGTGAGATCTCACATCAGTTGGAGAGAGGAACGAAGGGGTGGATTGTGAGATCTCACATCAGTTGGAGAGAGAAACGAAGGGGTGGATTGTGAGATCTCACATCAGTTGGAGAGAGGAACGAAGGGGGTGGATTGTGAGATCTCACATCAGTTGGAGAGAGGAACGAAGGGGGTGGATTGTGAGATCTCACATCAGTTGGAGAGAGGAACGAAGGGGGTGGATTGTGAGATCTCACATCAGTTGGAGAGAGGAACGAAGGGGGTGGATTGTGAGATCTCACATCAGTTGGAGAGAGGAACGAAGGGGGTGGATTGTGAGATCTCACATCAGTTGGAGAGAGGAACGAAGGGGGTGGATTGTGAGATCTCACATCAGTTGGAGAGAGGAACGAAACATTTTTATAAGCATGTGAAAACCTCTCCATGACAAAAGCGTTTTAAAAACCCTAAGGGGAAGTCCAAAGAAGACAATATCTGCTAGTGGGTTTGAGCTTTTACAAATAACATGAATTATAAATAAAGAGGAAAGAAGGTTAGAAATTTCTTTCTCAAAGAATAACTCAAGTGGACATCCCCAATAATTGAGAAGCAATGAACCTACGATTACATGGCATGAGAAGCCAGGTTACATAAGAGGGGAACAGCTATGCTATTAGCCCTTACGTCTTATGTCTTAGGGACAAGGCAATCAAATCAAACCCAGAGATAACCCATAAAAGCTAACTCAATAATCCAGCATAAACGATTAATGACAGCTCAGGAAGCACAAAAATAATCACCAAAAGTTAGTATATCTAACAATATTTGCTCAAGGGTCTTATCATATCAGAGAACCATTAAAATCTAGTGTGCAATTAAACAATTTATATCCAGAAGGAGGCAAATATCTGAGTGCAGTACCTGTTAGTCCCAAAGGAATAAGATCCCACAGCACCAAATGATTGTCTGTACCATCAGTTACCAATCTACATTTTCTTCTCAATAAAGCTGATGCTAAAGCCTGCGCATTTTTCTTCACCTGTCGAATATATACTCTGTACTCAAGAGAAGCCACTTGCTTTAACGCTATGGCGAGTGCAGCAATATGATTATTATGGGGACCCCCTTGTAACGACGGGAAAACGGAAAAGTTTATCCTGTCCTCAAAGTCATAAGTACCAGTTTCATCTCCATGATTTAGAAGCACGCCTTGCTTCCTCGATTTTAGACCCCTCCTGAAAAAGATAATACCTCCTCTGGGCCCTCTGAGACTTTTGTGTGTTGTTGAAGTTACTATATCACAATATTGAAACGGACTAACACATTCCTGCAGCAGAGACAAAGTCATAAGGACATAAATGAGTAGCAAAAATGGCAGGAAGGTTCAAATCGCTATCCTAATGGCTAAACTAATCCCACCCCAATCAGACTTTAACATAACAAATTAAAATTAATGCTGGCAAATACAATAAGAAAAGGCATTATCTTACAGAAATCTTAAAATCTGACATGATGAATTCAATCACAATTCTAAAGAAACATGTTATAAGAAGAATCCACACACCTTGGCCGCCACAAGACCGCTTATATGGGACATGTCGGACATCAGAATTGCTCCGCATTTGTCTGCGATCTGCCTACATCTACCATAGTCCCATTCGCGTGGATACGAGCTTCCTCCACAGATTAGTATTTTCGGACGATAATCAAGCGCCTTCTCTTCAAGCTTATCATAATCAACGTACCCAGTTAGGGGATTCACTTTATAAGGTAGACTTTGAAAGAATATAGAAGCCGCTGAAATCTTTTTCCCACCCGGAGTATAATACCCATGACTAAGATGTCCTCCCGATGCTGAATCCAAACCCATAATTCGATCCTTTGGGTGCAAAAGACCGGTGTACACAGCGAAGTTTGCTGATGTACAAGAGTAAGGCTGCACATTCACTCCCCATTTCTCAGGATCTAGATCAAAAGCGGCCAACGCTCTCTCACAACAAAGCAATTCAATCTCATCTATGTGCTGATTACCCGTATAGTATCTAGCGCCAGGCATTCCCTCAGAGTACTTATTCGTCAAATGGCTACCTAGGGCTTCCATAACAGCCCTGCACACAAAATTCTCCGAAGCAACCAATTCAATACCCCTATATTGTCTCTGCTTCTCCTTCGCCATAATATCATGAATTTCCGGGTCGGCAATTCGAAGCGACTGATTCCCCCATGCCCTAACCGACGCTCGTCTAGCCTCAAGGCTCGATTCATCCATAATCGCTAACCGTTTCGCAGAATCCTGGTTGAGAAACGATTGACTGTCTCTCTGCCTCTTCACACGCAAGGGTTGCCCTAGAAGGCTGAACTTCTCATCATCGCTATGATCATCCGGGTCCCCTTTCACAAAATTGAATTTCTCGTCCTTTTGCTCACGGAGTTCTAACAAGTACGACGAATTCGACGCCGTCGAACACAAATAGCTCGAGTTATCCCCAATCGAGCTTCTAGATATCGAAGATGTGGCATGAGAACTAAATCGTAAAGAAAGATCCGACTGGGCATGGCGAAAATCCATAATCCCGAAAATCAGCAGCAGAAGAAGACGATGAACAAAACGAATTCAACGAACACCTAAGGATAGGAGTAGAAACAGCAGAAACAGCGACAACAACGCCTGAAAAAACTACAGTGACAGTATCGGAAGAACGACCGGCGAGGAGTGGTTGTAGACGAAGAAGAAGCTTCCATCAAAGGAGCGGAAATCCGGATTCAGATAGAAATAGAGATGAAAAATGAAAACGAAACAGATTTATAATAAAATAACGAAATGCAGTTTAATCGGAGAAGAGCATTCCAGTGAAGAGAAGACAACGATGAATCTGGATGCAAAGATGGGAGGGGGAAGAGGAAGAGGAAATGGTAAGGGGGTTACCGGGTGACCGGAATAGCCGGTAGCGTGAAGAATCCTAGTTGGTAAAGGTGTAGGTAAGCGAATGACGCGTGTCACACCAAAACTTACGTCTAACATTTTTATCTAGACGGAATAACGTCTAGTTTCAGAAATGTGAAAATTGTGAGAGTGGGGCCCACTGCCAGCCTGTTGACCTACGTGGCTGGGTTAGTGTCGTCGTCTGGCCGCCAAGTAAATTTAGCTACCTGATTTAGACTTGTTTTTTTTCTTTAATTAATTTTAATAGCTTTTAACTTTATTATTTAAATTGAGATAAATATCACAAATCAGTTTTAGAAATAACCGTACAAAAATATCTAACACAAATTTTTTAATTTTTTTATAAGAAAAATTAAAATTTTTGAAGAATATCTACAAATGGTAAATATACCATTTTCATCCAGGTTAATATTTAATTTTTTTAATAATTTATTAATATTGATAAATATATAGTATTCTAATCATTAATTTCGACTTAATAATATATTTTTTTAATATATAAATATAACGTTATATCTCTTTATCTTCTTGCGTAGGTTTTCTTGTTTTCACGACCTATGAAGAAAAACTTATTAGAGTAATCATTGAGTGATCGTCGTCGAAGAAGCGTCATAAAACAATAAAAGGAAAAAAGAAATTTTGAAGAGAAAGAGAGAGGTATAAAATTGCAGTGAGTCGGGTAAGAAAAAAGAGACCCAAAGTTTCGATGTTTGGGTCAATATGGTGTTGAATTTGAAACCCGTTAACCCAATCAGTGTGCAATTCAAACTCGTCCACGAGCCAAGTCCATCACAACCGAAATCTAGAATTACCCATGTGTGATCCATAGTTTGGCTAAAACCCACATCCAGCACATGTCGTGATCATTGTGTTCGTTCACTTACTCGACCCCACCTAAAATTACAATTTGCATGCATGCTCTTGACCGACCCACTTACTCGATTTGTTTGCACGACACAATGTAGAGTGAAACTCGTGGTCTCCTACCGAGTTAATGATGCGACGACAACTTACAAGTACATCTCTTACGGAAGATAAATATATAAACAACTTAATGCTAACAAATGTAAAAATAAAATAATAAAATAATTAATTTGACATATTTTTTTAATAATTCATTTGACATAATTTCCATATTTTTAATGCCGGCTTATTTTCCTATCTAAAAAATATAATAAGACCTATCTCGAGTCAGAGATTCCAAAAAAATAACCAATATAAACAAATTGAACACGTAATCCAATAATAATAATTTATAATAATAATAATAATAAAAGCAATTTCCACGTGGTTTTAAACAACCAATCCAAAATTTGAAAATAAAATTAGTTTCTTTTTGTTTAAAAAATTATTGTAATAAAAAAAAAAAGCTTTTATTATTTATTCCATTGTTATATTAATTGTAATTGAACTTAATTTTGTGTAAATTTTTGGTATTTATTGAAATTAATAAATTTGAAATATTAATATTAATAATTAAAAAAAAATCCAAATTTGCATATTTTTAACTTTCAAATTTCTAAAATTTTAAAACTCGACCTAACCGAGAGTGAATTATGATATAATTTTAAAATAATTTTTTTTCGAGCATGTTTTGTAATAATTCATATCCACGATTCAGACGCTGATAACTCAGACATTTTCCTACGTTCAATATTTTCAACTCACTCACATGTATGTTAAGAAGATTTATTGAGTCAATAAAGATGCATTTTATTTATATATATACTAATTTTCATTTTTTCGTGGTCTCAATGGATTCATATACCTTTTTAAGTATCGCATGTTCGAAAGTGATTTTAAAATTGTGGAAAGTTTAAATTTAATTTGATAGATATAATTTAAAAAATTTTAAAATTTAAGAAGAGAATACTAAATTACTATTTAAAAAGTCCACCATAGTTGGAAGAACAATATTCGTAGGTTGTCTTAAAAATCTCAACTTCTCGGAAAGCGGAAGCACAATTGGGCAACGACCTTCCTTTTTAATCAAAGATTAGTAAACAAAACAAAAAAATCATTTCAATTTAGAAAGCGATTAACAGACAGGCACACGACTGGTGGCGCGATTAATCAAACCCCCAAATCCCCATTTGTTTCATCAATTCGCCGCCTTCATCCTCTGACTTCCATCAAAACGCGCCCAATTTATTCATAAACAAATCCCAGTTTCATTCACCTTTCGTCTTCCTCCTGGTGGGTCATCTGTCTTTTGAGAGATTCCCCATTTCACAGAGGAAAAAAAATGAAGAATCATGGCTTTAGAAAGATCTCCATCGCATGGTTTCCTTTCTTTTGTTTCCCCTTCTTTCTTCTCGGTATGCTCGTCACAAACAGGTTTCTAATTTCGCCTCTCGATTTATCCTTTTGATTTCATGCGATTCTGCGTTTTTGTGGGTTTGATCGATGATCGGGGGTTTTGGATTTCTGGGTTATGTTGCAGGATATGGTCGGTGCCTGAATCCAATGGTCAGGTCATCTCTCGGCATCGCCATGAGCAGGAACTTCAAATCGTCTCTGAAGATAACCCTATTAAGAGGGTGAGTGTTTGCATCTGATTTCCCTACTTATACGACTGATTGATTCCATTGCGCATTTGAGTATGATTTTCTGTTTCTTGGAAAAATTTTAAGCCAGCGGAGAAAAGGGATATGATGACCGAAGTTTATAGAACTAACGAAGCAATCAAGTTAGTGCAACTTGTTCTTTATTTTTCCAGTTTCGTTGGAACAAATTAGTTCCCTTATTTGAAATTTCTGGATGTGTACAGATCTTTAGACAAGAAAATTACAATGCTTAACATGGATTCAGTGGAGGCTAGGAATTCTCGGGAGGTGCACTCCTCTGAGAATTACACCCCTTCTGTTGAATCTTCTGTTCAAGACAACCTGCCAAAGAAGAAGATGTTCATGGTGATTGGGATAAACACCGCGTTTAGTAGTCGAAGGCGTCGAGATTCTGTTAGAGAGACGTGGATGCCTCGAGGTATTTAGGTTCCCCACACTGTTGTTTTGTCTCATTTTGATCAGTTTACGTTGTTTTTCTGCTAAAACATGGTTTGATGTTTGGTCAGGTGAAAAGCTGTTCCAGTTGGAGCGAGAGAAAGGGATTGTCGTTCGGTTTATGATTGGCCATAGGTATAATTGCGTCTCTTGTGGGTTATTGGCTCTAGCTGCTAACTGTTTGAAATTAGATGCTGGCGACAATGGAGTCGCTTTCCATAATGATGGGGCTCTCTTTTTTTCAACCGGATTGTCCTAATGAATGAAATAGACATTTAAAGAATAGGGTATTAGAGTTTTTGTTGGTCAAATTTCTCTGTGAGAGCCAATCATTGTCATGCTGTGGATTGTTTCAAAACTTGACAATTAAAGTGGGTTTGTGATGACTTTTTGAGATTGTTTTTAAAGCCATTTTAGAGTGTTTAGCGTTTCAAAACTATTCTTTGCCATTTAACCAAACATAATGGAGTGTGGTGGAAGCTGTGGCCTGTCTGTCCACATTATAAGATGGTCCAACATAGGACATACGTTTCTTATCAATAAGACTTAAAGGTTCTCTGTTTTACAATCATAATCATACGGAGAGTTTCTGGATTGCTTTCTTGTAATAGCCCATGTCCACCGCTAGCTGATATTATTCTCTTTGGCCCGTTATGTATCGCCGTTAGGCTTACAGTTTTAAAACGCGTCTGTTAGGGAGAGGTTTCCACGTCCTTATAATAAATTGGTTCGTTTCCCTTTTTACCTGATGTGGGATCTCACAATCCACCCCCCTTGGGGGTCCAGCGTCCTCGCTGGCATACCACCCGGTGTCTAGCTCTAATACCATTTGTAACAGTCTATGTCTACCGTTAACAAATATTGTTCGTTTTGGTCCGTTACGTATAGGTGTCAATCTCATGGTTTTAAAACGCATTTGTTAGGGAGAGGTTTCTACACCTTTATAAGGAATGTTTTGTTTCCCTCTCCAACCAATGTGGGATCTCACAATCCACTCCTTTGGGGGCCCGGCGTTCTCGCTGGCACACTGTTCGGTGTCCGACTCTGATATAATTGGTAACAGCCCATGCCAACGCTAGCAGATATGACGATGTGGGATCTCATATTTGTCTGGCTGAAACTGGATTGTGTTAATAGATGGGCAAAACAAGTTCTTTATTGGCCCCTTGTAGCAAAAGCAGCCGCTACTATTAATCTGTCAGCTTTCTCCTTTCACTTGTAAAAAAGGAACACTAGACTTTCCGGATTGTGATTACCATACTGTTATATTCTCCTAGTTGTGTTATTCTACCATTTTCTCCCTTTAACTGTACACTCCCACCTCAGCCTCCCATCATCCTTTTATATTCGTGCAGTTAATCCCGACGTATTATGTAACTTTTGATTTTGCTTCCTTATTTTCAATGGAACTAACCTTGTCGATCTTCGCATGATTAGTGCAACATCCAACAGCATTTTAGATCGTGCTATTGATTCTGAAGATTCACTGCACAAAGATTTCCTTAGACTGGTAAGACAATCTAAATGGAGTTATGATCATATAAAAGAATGATTAGACATTCAGCTTGTAAACTGAATCATGATGTGCAGGAGCATATTGAAGGGTACCACGAACTGTCTGCAAAAACAAAAGCCTTCTTTTCCACTGCCGTTTCTATATGGGATGCTGACTTTTATGTTAAGATAGATGACGATGTCCATGTGAATTTAGGTACGTTTCACATCGTTAAGTTGCTATCTTTTCTACGGATGTGAAAGCTAAAAATACATTTATCATGATCGCATTTCTTATAATTCTTCCCCATGCAGGGATGCTAGCTACCACTCTGGCTTACCACCGGTCCAAGCCCAGAGTCTATATTGGGTGCATGAAATCTGGACCTGTTCTATCTTCAAAGTAATTTTCATGGACTGTTTATCATGTTTATCGAGACAGGAGGATTTGTAATAATAATTTTTCTTTTTGTTT